GGGGCCGTTCTATGGAGAGGAGTGCAGGATGATTACCTTCCAGGTCTAAGGGCCCGGCGCTTGGGCCCCCTCTCTCTCTGAGCCAGAAGCTCCGAGGGTGGCCTGGGAATCTGCATTTTGCCCCAGTTTCCCAAAGGGAATCTGGAACACTCGGAACTCGTGGCACAGTGGGGCTGGCCTGGGGTGGAGAAAGGGTTATGGAGAACGGGGCCTCCTCACATAAAGGGCAGGGGTGGGGGTCCCCAAGAGCTACCCTTTGCCCTCTGGAAGCCTGAAGGGAATGTTCCGGTTGTCAGTCGCTGGGGCACACCAGGCTGGCGTCCCAACCCCCATTTTCATGCCCCTAAAGGAGCTTTCTTGGCTCTCAAGCAGGAAGGGGAGATTCCCAGGCGCGATTGTAGGTCAAGGTTTCCCCCTAGGGAGCACTCTAACTTGGGTCTTTAATCTAGAGGGTCCAGGCCACGGAGAGCACAGGGTAAGGGGTGGGCAGGGAGGTGATAGTGACTTTTTCACCCAACCCCCACCCATGTCCTGGCAACCCAGAAAACTATGTTGTCGCTTCCTCACATCCACCCCGCCCAAACGTCCAGCCAACAGGGGCCAGGGCTGCCCTCCCCGCCCCCCAGTTGTTTCCACGGGTGTGTGTGGGAGGCAGGACACAGATCCACCCTACCCCATACCTCTGCTGTACTCCAGATCCCTGAGATTGAGGAACAGAGCGGCCCCTAGGACCCAGAGAACAACTCGGGCACAAAGCCTCTCCCCCACTCCCAGCTGCTTCCTGCATCTCAGGCTTTCCTGCGGCCTCTGCCTCCTCCCCCGCCCTCTTCCTCTCCATCCTCTACCTCCTCTTCCCAATCTTCCACTCTCTCCCTCCCACTGGCCTGGTGATGGGAGTCTTACAACCCCACTTTTGTAGGGATGTGTGGATTTTGTGGGATATTAACCCGTTAGCACGTGCGGAGGAGCTCGGTACAGGGATGGGGGTGGGGGTAAGCCGCCTGGGAACTCAGGCTATTGGGATGGGGAGGAGCCACGAGGCACAGGGCTGGATCCCGAGGCTGGTGCTAAGGGGGAGGGACGTTACGTTTGGGGTTCTGAGCCTGAAAGCCGGAAATGAACCCCGGCTTGCCAATGTCATCTGCCTTTCTTTGCTCTGCTGCCAAGGAAACTACCCCCTCCCTAGTTTTGCACTCTGAGATAGGCTGGCGAAGAAGCCCTCCGGCTCCCCTCTTTTAATACTTTAGAAGACAAACGAGCCAGACCAAGGTTAGGGCTGAAAACGCCCTCCAAAACCCTGGTTTCCAGGATGGAAGTTGGATGAGGGGCAAAAGCCCCACCAGTTGGGGGCTGGGAATGGGGTGGGCAGTGTCCTTAGAAGCTCTCGCGTGGGTTAGAGGAGGGCACAGGCCCCAGGGTGTTCTGCCCAGAATCGCCCACACCCTTTGTGGTGAGTCATCAGAACTTGGTCCCAGCCCAAGGGGTCTGTGCCCACGCCGCTGGCCAGGTGGGGAAGTCCCCCCTTGGCTGAGGAAGAGAGGAGTGGTTAATAAGCAGATGGCAAGTCTAGAGACCCTGGGACCAGCGAGGGTTTGGAGTCCATCGGCAGTATTGGGAAACCCAGGCTCCCCTTGTCCTGAAGCTTCCAAGGATGAGATGCAGACGGGTGGAGCTGGCCCAGAGCTCGAAGGGCTGAAGCTAATGCGGATTATTATTTGCTAGGTTCCTGGTTAGTTTAACAACACCCCTCCTCCAGCCAGAGTTCCCATCTTAAGCGCCAAGATCAGTGCTCAGGCAGAACCAGGCACTAGCCTGACCGGCCCAAACAGATAAGAGGACAACTGGGAGATCCCAGAAGCTGCTCCTGCCCTTCCCAGTCTGCCTGGAGGCCGGAATCTCACCTGCTCAGGAGAAGGGAAGATAACCATCCAGACTGGAAGCTTGAAACCTGATTTGCATTTCTCCTGCTGGAATCCTCACACATTTCCTCCAGTTTAGCCCCCCAGCACAATCTAACTACCCGGTCTCTTTCCCTTAACCTTATGGAGAAGGTCGTGTTGGCCTAGTGGCCAGTGGTTCGTTGTTTGGGCGGAAGTCCTCCCTTACCTTTACGCATTGGTGTGCTCACCTCACAGTCAGCAGTTTGAAACCACTAGCCACTCTGTGGGAGAAAGATGAGGCTTTCCACTCCCATAAAGAGTTGCCTTCTCAAACTCCATAGGGGCAGTTCTGAGTCACAGGGCTGCTCTGGGTGTCTATGGCGATGAGATGAGACATGGTGGAGTGAGTCCCAAGTCTGGCTCAGCAATGAGAAGGCCAGGGTTGAAATCCTTACTCTACCACAGACTCGCTGTGAGCTGTGTGCTGTGGACAAATCACTTTGCCTCTCTGCTCTGAGAGTCAATCAGACGGCCTGAGAGGTAGCGGTGGGTGGGGAAGGAGGTGAGTCTGCCCCCCAAACCAAACTCCAGCCCCTGCTGTGGCTTCACTGCCCACTCATAAAAGCCTCCCATCCTACCCCCCACCCCCAGTGTTAGAGTAGAACAGCCCCAGAGGATTCTCTTAGCCATCCCTCATCTTATGGAAGTAAGATTGTGAGGCATAATTCCCCCTGGGTAGAACCAACTGCCAACTTTTAGTAGCTGAACCCAAACTGCTAGTACCACACGGGCTGCCTGCCTGGGCCACCAGCCCCTGCACCCCTGCAGGGTTGCCCTCAACCCTCCTCCCAGTCGAGCCCCTCCCTGCTTTTCCCACTTCCCCCTAAAAGCTTTCAGTGTTCGCCTCCTGAGGCTGGCAAGTTTCAAACAGCAAGTGTGACTGCAGAGGCGGGTGATGAAGTCAGGGAGGAGCCTGATTTGTGATAAGCCATAAGCCCTCAGCACCCTGGGCGCAGGCTAGCTGCCAAGGTTGGCTTCTCATTCCCAGCCCTGGGGCCTGGAAACAGCCTCTGCTGGGGGTGTTTCCCTGCTAGAATCATCTGAGCACTGCACTAAGGCCGTGTAGGAATGACCAGTCCCTGCCCCAACCACTCCCCCTCTTGTATCCTCTGCCAGGGCTCTGGGTGCCAGCTCAGGTGCTGGAACCATGCACCCTGTCCGCAACTCACCTTCTCAAGAATGCAAGTCCAGGATGCCCTAGTGACCCTTGACTGACCTCTTTA